TATTAATGAACGCACCTCTTTTTTTTGATTGAAGCAATTTATGAAATTCAGCCTATTTTTGTAACTAATTTTGATCTCCCTGAAAGTGTTTTTGGTTTATCTGTCATTTATTACAAATATTTTTCTCACCTCAGCTACGAGTTTCAAACCTACATAACTGGAAGCTGTTTGTTTCTCTCAAATGTCTCTTTGATTTTAAAAACTGTGAAACGTATCATTGACAAAGTACTGTTCCATCACTGAAGGTGCTCGATCCTATCTTTCGTCCCGCCAAAACACCAAGGTTGGCAAAGCTCACACTTCTGAGGATTGAGAGTACGCAGACCAGACACTTCATCGCTCTTCCTTCCTATGAAGTGGGTGTTTCCTGCGTCTCTTAAGCAATTATTCAAGCCATTCAGCAACAGAATACCCCTCATGCACATTTTTATAAGCGTGTAAGCCATTGGCATGTGATGCCATCTAGCATCCTCTTCTACGCGCCCACCTCCGAATCAACAAGCTTCATTCATCCTCTAACTGCTAACAGTCCAAGAGGGAACAGAACTCGCCCTGCTGGTGTGGCAACGATGGCCTGAGGAAATGAGGTCTCCTGCATCGCCTTCATGCGCAGATATCCAGATGCCAGTGTGAAAGATTTTATTGTCACACGAGTGGGTTACACCAGGTGTTGCTTTATTCACAACTCAGAGTTGGGCCATCACCTCAGCAAGTGGCAAAGCTCAACTCACTAAACCAGTGTATATACATTTATTAAACCGATTACATCAAGTTTTTTTAAGTGCATCATTTATTAAGTTCTCTCTATTCTTCTGTCTTTGTAGAATTCTCCCTTGCTGTTTTCAGGTCCCGCTTGGTTTCAGGGTCATCTCAGGGTCATTGTCTGTCCTTCGTCTTCTTCTGTGAATTCTGTTTGGTACAATCCTGAGAAAGACTTTGAGAGACTCCAAGATGTTCTATTAAACTTACTCCTATTTCTAAAATTTAACCTATTGACCTATGACATTAATCTTGCTACACCTTCTTATCTTATGCTAGGGTCAATTGGTTTTTAACCCAACCATGATAAGGCCTATACAGGGGACAATTGAGACCAGCATACCAGTTGTATGGTTTTTTAACACACCTGTATTCACACAATTGAATCTATGTTCTAGTTCTATGATTTTATTCTGTTCTATAATCATAATCAATCTCCTCTGTAATCAATCTCTAACAGCCAGGCAGAGATCAGCTATATATATATGTTGCCCCTCCTCACACTCACAGGTTTGCTCCAGCTTCTTGCCATTCAGTGCAGCAACCTGCAGACAAGTGCAACCTAAGGAAGACAACAAAGAGCTTGTGTACATCCTGCAGAGTAGCTGGTATGTTGATTAACTCTCCATTTCTTTGTTTCTGGAAATCAAGAGTTTTGCAGAATCCAGGACTCTCAACAAAATCTTGAAGGGGCACAGTGTCCTAAGGCATGCCCTTAAAATTTTGAGTAGCAGGACTGACAACATTTGAAAGAAAAGAGGAAACAGACTGCCCTTGTATGCTTTTTGACTGAGATTCTGAGAGATGCTGGTTCATTTTCCTTTTTCATACAGTTTATTTACTGCCCACAAACATTCTTGTGCCCCAGTCTGTGTAAAAGTGCAATGTAGTTGCTAGAAAAAGAACAAATATCTAATCCATGCCATTCAAAATTCAGCCTAGAGGCTGCTAAGTGTTAAAAACTGAGTCCTTGATTTCGTTTCAGTGTTCAGTGACCTTGCTATTGTTCCAATTCTATCAACGGTTTCTAAATACAAAAACATTAAATGCCACATGTGTCAGACGATGGACAGTGGCTATTTTCCTGAGTGCAAACCTGAGCTTGGCTGAGTGGAGCTCAGTGGGTGAACCCCATGGGTTGGAAGAGATATATCTACCCTGCCTGGAGCTGCAGACCGCCTGCAAGCAGTGCAAATACAATTCCTGGTTCAGCGCTGCGTCCCAAGCTCAACGACAGGGCTCGTTCGGGCAGCCAGTGAGCCAGACTGAGGCTGACATCACTGCTGCTGCTCTGCTGAGTATCCACAAGAAGCTCCTGGTCAAACTCTGCTTGGCAAAGGAATGGCCGGAGCCGAGGGGACTCGCAGTCATCCTGCCTGAGGTGCTGCCTGCAGCCGTCTCTCTCCTCGTCGCACAGAGGTACGTAGTAGTGCGTGCCCTGAGAGACCCTTGGCCCTTTGTAAATTTTGACGGGTCAAGAAAGGAGTTTGAATGGCCAAGAAAGTATCCTTGTGCTAAAACTACGGTACCTGCAATTACGTTATTATTCACATACTGGGAAAGAAGTTAACGGGAAGGCAAAAAGTCATCAGAAATGAGACAGCAATTTCAGGTCACACTCACCCAAGAAGTGAAAAAGCTTCGTGATGCTGTTCTTGGCATATGACTTAGGTGTTCACCACAAATAAGACAGCGAAGATGCTATTACAATAATATCTATGTTTAAAGTAGATGAAACTCACAATCAGCCCGTTTACAGATGTTTCGTTAGAGTTAAGCTGAATTCCCTCCGTGTTTGGGGGAAAGGAAAATAAATGAACTGTGTGGCCATCTCAGTAAAATCCAGCTAGACTCATTGCGTGAACACAAACCTTTAAGAGAAACAGTTTATGTGAAGAAAAGAAGAAGATTTAGTTGGAGAACAGTCTGAAGTACGTAAACTTGGAATTTGTTAAACTACATGGGGCAGTGTCTCTTCAAACTGCTTAATCACAGCTGGTGGTGCGTGTTGGAATGAAGGAGGTGGCACAGAGGAGAGTGGCTCATCCTACCTTTCTTTGCTTTTAAATGCTTTGTTTTCCTGTGATAAAAATATATATTTAAGTAATTTCCTCAGGTAAACTTAAGTGATGGAAAGATTGAACGAATGGAAGTATTATAGGCATTGAAATTGAAAAATGTGCAGTGGAGGGAGTTGGCAGGAAGGAAAAGATTAAATAAATTGAGAATCTGGCTAGGCTCATTATTACACCTGTTCCGTGCTACTCAAGTCAACTTTCCACCAGAGTTAATGATTACTGGTATGCGTCACCCTCAGAGCGCTGTCGGAGAAAGATTACCGAAAAGTCTATTTCTCAGTTCCCAGGTCAGTTTTTCCACTGTCCTCTCAAATTAAAACATCTTGCAGAACATGTATGGCATCCTCCTCCATTCCACAAAACACGCAGATAATTTTTTCACTTCATACGTTGGGTCAGGGCCCATGGGGCACTTGGCTGTCCCTGCCCAGCCTGCCATGCCATCTCCCCCGGGATCCTCAGCCCCCGCCCCAACAACACCGCAGCAGGGACGCTCTCCAGCCCCCCACAGCCCGGCCCTCTCCCCTGGGAGGTGCCCAATGCCTGGGGCTGGGACTGCCCTGCTCGCCCAGGTGCCCTGGTCCTGGCTGGGGTGGTGGGGTGGGCCCTGGCTGACGGGTCCTGCCCCAATCCCCAGGGGGAGCAGCTGGCCCACACTGTGCCCTGACACCTTTTGCAGCTACCCAGGTCATTTCCCAGATAGCCACGGCCAAGATGCCATTTTATTTCATCCCACAATCAGAATAATCTCTCCTTTTTGTGTTCTCCAGTTGCAGGTGCCCTCCATAAGCCTCACAAATACCTTGCTCCAACCACAATATACTAGGTTTACTTCTTGCATTTTAGCTCGCTTTCCTCATCCCATTTTAATCCTTTGCTTCTTAGCTTTCCTCACCAGCCTCCCCATAAAAGTCTTCCTACTTACTAGGAACCTCAGGCCTTCCCTACTTGTTTTTAATGAATTCAACCAAGAAAAAACATATCAGCATTTCACTGTGTCAAAAGAATATGGAAAATCCTCCTAGAACAGAAAATCATACAAAAGAGTTTCATAAAACCATCACACACACAACCAAAACCACATTGCCAGAGCAGCTAAGTAGTAACTTAACTAAGTTACTGCTGAGTAGACTTTAACATTATTTGAATAGCTTGGACCACAAATTGGGCATGATCTCTGGCTGTCCTCAACCTCCTGCACCAAGTCATGCTGATGGGGAAAAGCTGAAATACTCTTGGTCCTGTGCCCTGCCACACCGCGCTGGCCGGGCGCTCCGGCCCGTGCCCGTAAGACGCTCACCGG